CACCATCGTATTCATCATCATCAGCATCATCATCAGCATCATGTTCATCATCATGCTCATCATCAGCATCATCATCATCAGCATCATCACCATAATCATCAGCATCAATATCATCATCAGCAGCATCATCATCAGCATCATCATCATCCTCATCCTCATCATCATCTTTATCAACAGCATCATCATCATCAGCAGCAGCATCATCATCAATATCAGCATCATCATTATCATCATCATCATCATCATCAGCATCATCATCAGCATCATCATCATCAGCATCATCATCATCACCAGCATCATCAGCATCATCATCGTCCTCATCATCAGCAGCATCAGCATCAGCATCAGCATCAGCATCATCACCATCAGCAGCATCATCATCAGCAGCATCACCATCATGATAATGATCAGCATCACCATTATCATCATCATCAGCATCGTCATCATCATCATCACCATCGGCATCAGCATCATCATCATCATCATCAGCATCATCATCACCAGCATCATCATCAGCATCATCAGCATCATAATCATCATCATTGTCCCCCTCCTTCTCCTCTTCCTCCTCATCTTCCTTCGTCTCCTCCTCCTCCTCCTCCTCTTCATCCTCCTCCTCCTCCTCCTTCTCCTCCTCCTCCCGCTCCTCCTGCTCCTCCTGCTCCTCCTCCTCTTCCTCCTCCTCCTCCTCCTGATCCTTCTCCTTCCCCTCCTCATCCTCCTCATCCTCCTCTTCCTCCTCTTCGTTTTCTTCTTCTTCTTCTTCTTCCTTCTCCTCCTCCTCCTCCTCCTCCCAGTCCTCCCTCCTCCTCGGGATTTGCCCTCCGAGAGTTGTGATGTGTGTCTCTTCTGGTGGTGCGGTGCCGTGTCCGAGTTGCCCTGGCGGGATGTCGCCCTCCGTCAGGGACCTGCAAAAATAGCGTCCTGATCGGCACTGCACCCCGCCAGTTGTTCGCCACTGGCGCAGCCAATTCGAGGCAACGAGGCTACTGCATGTTCGGTTCGGACCCGCGCCTCCAAGGAGGCCGCCTCCTCTTCTTCCTCCTCCTCCTCCTCCTCCTCCTCCTCCCCCCTTCCTCCTCCTCCCTACTCCTTCCAATCCTGCCTGCTCTCCGCCTCCTCCTCCTCCTCCACCCCTCCTCCTACTACTCCTCCTCCTGATCCTTCTCCTCCGCCTCCTCCTCCACCTCCTCCTCTCTCCTCCTCCTCCTCCTCCTCCTCCTTCCCCTCCTCCTCCTCCTCTCCCTCCTCCTCCTCCGCCTCCTCCTCCTCCTCCTCCTCCTCCTCCTCCTCCTCTCCGCCTATCCCCCCCTCCCCTTTCCTCCTCCTCCTCCTCCTCCTCCTCCTCCTCCTCCTCCTCCTCGTCCTTCCTTTTCCTCGTCTCCTCCTGTCACGGGCCCCCATATCGGCTGCGGCCTCGCCGCACTCCGCGAAGTCCTTGCGCAAGGCCTCCTCGGTGGCGGAGAAGGGGAGGCCCCGAACGAAGACCTCTCAAGTCGCGGCGGGGAACGAGTCGAGGTGGGAAGAGAGGGAGGAAATGGGAGGTGACGCGGATCAAGAGGAGGAGGAGGAGGAGGAGGAGGAGGAGGAGGAGGAGGAGGAGGAGGAGGAGGAGGAGGAGGAGGAGGAGGAGGAGGAGGATGGAGAGAGGAGGAGGAGAGAGGAAGGAGGAGGAGGAGATGAGGAGGAGGAGGAGGAGGAGGAGGAGGAGGAGGAGGAAAAGAAGAAGGAGAAGGACGAGGAGGATGAGGAGGAGGAGTGGGGAGATGGCAACGCCTGGAGACATACACGCCACTGCACCCCGGATCCCAGGAGGAGGGGAGGGAGGAGCAGCAGCAGAGGGGGTCCACAGCGAGGCGGAGCAGGAGCACGAGGAGCGGGAGCCGCAGGAGCAGCAGCGGCAGCAGGCCCACACATCCGGCCCGCTCCCAATGCCTTCGAGGCGTGGGCCACGGACGTCGAGGACCGCTTCCCCGGGGACCGGCTGCGCGCCCCGAGCCGCCTCCTGACGGCCCCGCGGGGGCCCCGCGAGGGCGGGCCCCCGAGAAGCCGACAACGGCCAGAAGCCCAGAGCCCCGAAGTTGGCTGGAGCGCCGGACCTCTCCCCTCCTCCCTCCCTCCCTCCCTCCCTCCCTCCCACCCTCCCTCCCTCCTCCCCTCCTCCACTCCTCCCTTCCTCCCATCCTCCCTCCTCCCTCCTCGAGCGCAGCGCGAGGCGCAGGAGGCGCAGAAGAGCAGCGGAAGAGCACGACGAGCAGCAGAAGAGCAGCGGGGCCTCACCGCGCCGCGCCGCCGCTCGGAAAGAGGCGCCCCTGCGGCCGGCGGCGAGGGCGGCAGCAGCCGGGGGGGAGGCAGGGCCAGCAGGCGAGCACGACGAGCACCAGGGGAGGGGCAGAGGGAGGGAGGAAGGAGGGAGGGAGGGGGGCGGGGAAGGAAGGACGCAAGGAAGGAAGAAAGGATGGAAGGATGGAAGGATGGAAGGAAGGAAGGAATGGAAGAA